AATGAATTCCAAACAGTAAGGACCAGAGTGTAGAGGCTTATAAAACGAGCAAAGGCAAGGCACTATTACTCAAAAATCGAAGAATTCAAGAATAACCCCAGAAAGCTCTGACAACTAAAAGAGTTGGGGGTATAGCCATAAACCCGTACGTAGATTTAATATAGTGCTAAACATCGATTACGAGGTATGCCATGAAACAACAACAGTGGCAAATAGTTTTAATTCATACTATACAACTGTTGCATCTAATAAGTTCTGGGTGTTAAAGGTATTCGATGCCAGTTGCATCGAATACCTTTAACACCCACAACTTATTAGATCCACAAGATGTACTATCATTAGAACTAGAGTCCTGCAGCAAACAGTTAGTAGACAGCAAATTTTCATTACACCTCGGGATAACGAAAGCCATACTGTCACGAAAAATAAAATGAAAAGGGTAAATAATTTTAATGTCCAGTGTAATGGGTAACCCATCACTTCAGTAAAATATCTGGGAATCCCCTTTGACCCAAGCATGTCAGGAGAACTGATAGGGAACAGTATAGTAAAGAAAGCTAATGCCAGACAAGTGCCAGGAAGTGTCTACCTACTGAGGGTCGCAGGACCTTATGTCTTGCTCTTCATGGTACTCTACCTTAACAAAATGGTAAGATTCCTCCTGGACCTCGGTCAAAGAGAGCATGTAGGCCAGGATGAACTGCAATAACTGGATATGCCGGATGTTGAAGATAGAGTGAAACAACTGAAGTTAAATCACGTTTACAAAATTGCTCACAAGCAGTGTCCAGAATATTTTGTACACCAATAAAGGAGTGGAACGGATTGTCTGCACATGTCAAAGCCTGTCAGCATGAGCCAGTTCAAGAAGAGAGCTAAAAAGGTACCTAAAATATGTAGCAACAGAAAGGGAGGAGAGTGATTTCTTGTATAACATACATGTACCTATTACTGTAATCTGATTCTCTCTTTAATGTTAATGCTATTACTATGACCTGATCCTCGCTTTAATGTTAATGTAAATAACTCAGTTTACTTATTCCTAGTATATTTCCTTTTAATGTAACTGCTTTTCTTAGTGTTGAGTTACTGAGCTGTTTTAACTTTTAAGATTTAAATAATAAGATATTACAAGGACCTCAATGGAAATAAATCACTGATTTTTTTTGGGTTAACCTAGGTAACCTACACATATGCTGCTATGTATGATAATTCATGTAACTGTATTTATGTGTACCTATACCTGAATAAACTTACGTACAGAAAGCCCCTTGTTATGCATAGCATTTCGGGAAAATTAGGTCAATTTTGTCCCTAGGATGCGACCCACACCAGTCGATTAACACACAGGTACCTATTCTGCTGATAGGTGAACAAGGACAGCAGGTGTCTTAAGGACCCCAATGGAAATAAGTCACTCTGTCTGACTTTTTTGGGTTATCCTAGGTTCTCTACACATATGCTGCTATGTATGATAATTCTATGTAACTGTATTTGTGTATACCTGAATAAACTTACTTACTTACTTACTTAGTGTTTTCACCCGTACCGGGGATCGAACTCCGGACTTCAATGTGTGAGCCGAGTGCGCTTGAACAAATGATTAAGGAATGATTCGATATTTAACCCAGTCACATGTTAATAAAAATTCTAGTCAAATACCCTACATACGCCTACTGCAAATGAGACACACTGTCTGACTTTATTGGGTAATCTTAGGTTAAACTCGACATAATTTACACTATAAAACCCACAGTAGAAGATTCAAATTATTTATAAGGCTTAAATAGAAGCTTACTAATGTAATTAGATACACCAATATTTTTTATATATCCGAGAAAACTATCTTGGTATCTTCATAAGTTAGCGGTAGTACGCTTCTTTCACAACCGAAAGGCCCGGGTTTAGTCTTGATCTGAATAAGACACCTTTCTGTTAGGTAATGGTATAAGATAACGATATGATGGTAAAGCGACACAGTTCCAAAAACTGCATTGTGCCTCTTTACCAAATTCTACCCGTGCTCATCTAGAAATAAATCGATACCTAGGAGTTAGTCGGCACCTTTTTTTAAGTCGAATCCTAGGTTAGGATCAAAGGACTCTAACGGACAAAAAAATATTTATCTTTAATTTAGGGAAAGAGGAGTTGTGCCGCCCGAGTATCTAGTTTATTGTGCACCTTGTTCTCATCCTGAGCAGTAACGCAAAAAAAGGGAATTACAGAGGTCACATTGGGTCCGTATCATCCTCCACTGAGTTACCCTGGGTAATTAACTCTCCGGCACCTCTTTTCTCTTGGTTTATAGCTGCAGAATCTTATTTCCTTTTTGATGATGTTATGAAATCTTCCTCATTAATTTTCCCTATATTTCTTTACAACTCTACACATGGTTATCAGTACTTTCTATCATCCTTCTATGAGCCCTTCATAGCTCATATCCAACAACTTTGGAAGGTTCCCTAGATCATTTTTTTAAGTTGCTAGTCCACTTTTTGTTTGGTACTGAAACCATACCATCTCCCCAGTTAACAATTTTGGCTCAAAATTTGATGTGCAAAGCTTTTTCAGTAGTTCCTTAGGCATACATCAAAATACTAATTTGAAGATAGTGCCACAAAGGAGTTTGTTTTGTTTATATAATCATCCACTGACAATCATTTATCACTAATGACTCACATGCCCTCTCTGTCTGATTTTTTTTTAATATTTAATCACAATTTATAGTTCTCTTGTCTGTATTCATTTTCTCTTATTTCTTTTATATAAAATTTATCCATATTACATTACATTATTCATGTATACTCCATTTTCTCAACCTTCAGTTTTTTTGTGCAGGGATAGTCACTTATATTTCTAATCTTACATAGAATCCTTGTATCATCCAAAGCAACGATATTATCCGAGTATCTGTTAGGAAACCAACAGTGATGGTCTAATAGCCTGAGCTTGCTACCATCTGCAGCTCATAAGACTGCCATCCCCACGAGCCCTTTT